TCGAAAGATTTTTATAACGCTATTTTAGATTTTCAGGCTCTTTCCGTTGACTTCCTCTTCCTCTGGAATCTCCCTTTTGAATTTACTGTCACACGACTATTTCTGGGGTCAGCTTGTATCCCTTTCCGCTTCCTCCTTTCGACCACAGGACGGAATGAATCCCGTAGGCAGGATTATTTAATGGTCCCTCCAGGTCTCTCACTTCTATTCCCCCCGGTCCGTGAACCCCAGCACCCACAGCATCCCCCACTCCCATAGCCCAGGCACAAAGCTGTCTCTTCGGACAGTGTCTTCCACTTTTTAGCTGAAAGGGACTGATTTTTCCTTCTGAATTGCTCAGCGAGAGCACAGAGGTTTACGGCCCGGCAGGTAACAAGCTGTCACACATTGGCTTTGCTTTTAGGACCAAGCCTGGAGTAATGGCAACCGTTAGCCCTTGACTGTTCTTTTAAGAGACGGCTCCTTCCTGCAGACTCCACTGCTGGGTGTAAATCAGCAGGACAAAGCCTTCTCTCCCACCAGAACGAGGTATCGTTCCCTGATTCAAAGAGCTCTTTGGTGTGAAAACTACTTTCTACCCCAGACTAAATGCCTCAGTGCAGTGCCTGGTGTGCCCAGAGCCCCTCCGAAAAGCTGACCCTACTGCCCCCAAAAACACCTTGCAGGAAGACAGAAACAGGTCCAAAGAGTGCAGAGAACCAGAAGTAACAACCCAAAGCCAAGTTTTGCATCCCAGCCTGTCTTTTGCCCACAGAGCTGTGTGAAAACAGCTTCACCTGTGATTTTTTTTGCCACCAAGGACTGATCACACATGCCAGGACTGTGTCCCCACCATACTCATCACCAAGAGCAGTAGGCTGGGAGCACATGTGGCAACGGCAAATGAAGGCTGCTAGCCCTAGTGCCCCTCACACACCCCCCTGAGGTTTGAGCATGAGTGCCGGGGATGCTCTGGGAAGGACACAAGAAGATGGCAGCTGCCTCCAGCAACAGCGAACAAGTATCTTGGACACAAGAGACAACGGTAGACCTTGCTGGCTCAGAGAGCACAAGGCTGGAGAGAAGCAAGGTAGCGCCACAGCGAGCTGCAGGGATGACAGCCCGTTTGCAAGGAAGAAGAGGAAGAAGCTCATCTGTGCAGAATCCTGCACCAGCAGCCCGTGGAAGCAGGATGTGAACTCATCATCCTGCCGGTGACTGGACTTCTTAACAGCAGCAGTGCAGGGCGGACAAGGCCAAGGGCAGATGACTCAGGGGTCAGCCAACCCCTGAGGCTGGCAACGGTGGTGCCAACCTTCCAGCACCAGGCTAATCCTGGAGCCAGGCTACATAGATATGAACTGGCAGGTCTTTAACAGACAGGTCCCTGGAGAGGACATGCTGTCCCAAAAGACTAAGCTTGGAGCACCCTTCTGAGCAAGAATACGCAGTTTCCCATCTAAGGTTTTTTATGAGGGCAGGGAGAGCCCCTTGGGGTTAGAACAAGTGGTTTTTCAGAGAAACACAGAAGACAGGGCTGGGGAAAGTCATCAACTTCCACACAGACGACCAACACTCACCATGTCTCTCTAGGAACAGACCTCCTCGCTCTCCAGGTGATCCACTAGCACTTCCTCACCGCTGCAAAACTTTTTCTTCCATTTCTTGCTGTAGTTTGAGACCAGAACGTCATACTTTGTCCAGCATGAAAACAAAGGATGAATTTGTTCTTTCCTCCTTGCAGTGACCCTTGTGGACTGTTCCCAGGCCTCTCCCACCCTCTTTAGACTCACACCACAATTCTTCCACGCTCTGCAAATTTAACAAGCCTATGCTTGTTTCAAATAGTATTAATAAAAATATCACATAGCACCGGACCTGTGGGGTCCCACATGCTTCTGGCAGTTATGGATGAAATCCACTCAATAAGGCTATTTTCACAGTCTGACGATGACAATGATGTGCCAGAACTATTACAGGATTATTTTTTTTTGTAATATGGGGAGCTAACTCATACCCATGGGACTAAGCTGTTTGTGCAGTAATCACTTCTCAGAGTATAGTGCTTGCACATTTTGAATCCCCATCAAAAATTATGTCAGGTTAAACTCCAGGAAGAGAATACGAGCAAGTTCAGACTAGTGTGGGAACATACAAACTGGCAACGATTCCCAAGGAGAGAGGCAGGGTTTCAGAGCCAGGGCTTTCGGAGCTGTTGGAGAGCACGGTCAAGCTGTGCAGCGGAGCGGCATTGCAGCACCATCTGCTGACTGCTGCCTGCAGGTCCACAGGTCATCACCATAAGCTGTACGTTTGGTCTCAAACGTTCAAAGATGCTGACAGCATCGTCAGCCAAATACCTCACTCTTTACGGTGACAAAGCTTGTAATTACTGATTAGAACAAGACATACGTGTTCTCTTCCCTGCTTTGGGGAAAACCAGGGCTCATGTCAACACAGCTGTAGTTGCCTGTTTTAAGAAGTGGTCAATACTGCAAGTCAGTATGAGCCTCATCAGAACCAACATACAAAGTTTAATTGCTGCAAATATTTAAGTTTTAAGCAAACTAATGCCCTGGTGGTATTTCTCTTTACGCTGCCCTCCCAGCAACAGTCCAGTACATCCAACTTCATCTGTGGTTGTGCAAGCATTTCTCCAGTAGATCCCAGTTCCTCCTGCCCCATCTAATCATAGAATGGTTTAGGTTGGAAGGGACCTTGCAGATCATCCAGTGCCACCCCCTGCCCTGGGCAGGGACACCTCCCACCAGCCCAGGTTGCTCCAAGCCCTGTCCAACCTGGCCTTGAACACCTCCAGGGATGGGGCAGCCACAGCTTCTCGGGGCAACCTGCGCCAGGGGCTCACCACCCTCAGAGTGAAAAACTTCTTCCTAATATCTCATCTACATCTCCCCTCTTCCAGTTTGAAGCCATTCCCCCTCGTCCTATCAGATCTTTCAAAGAGCCATACAAGTATGCAGGAACATGGTACTGCACATGAGCAATGCACAGCAAGAATACCTGCAAGCCCACAGACTGAGAACAGCTTGTGCGGATAGGCTTCATTTTTAAGCCGGCAGCAGTGGGACGCTGTCCTTTTCTTCATTGTGATACACAGGAATAGTCCAAAGAAATAAATCAATCATGCATGTGGAACAGTTCTCTTCCTCTATGCCCTATGTCATGATGCAGCTCAGATATGACAGCAAGACAAAGCCCCAGTACATGTGGCAGAATGATGGTACAAGTTTGGTTATCTGTGGCAAGACACAAAAAAAAAAAAAACAAACACACACACAAACCAAAAACAACCACCAGGAAACAGGAAAGGAACAACCAGGGAAATCCAAGCATTCCTCCCCACCCCCAAATCCAAGAATGCCATATCCAGAGTTGTTTTGTAGTGTTTTCCTCTAGGACCACTTCCTATCTCACCACTGTTCAAGTTCTGGCCAGTGTCACCTACCCAACCTTGGGACCTCGACAGCATCTGCCTCTTCAGTCTGACACCTCTGACAGCTCCTCCCTCTCACACACAAGGCTTTTCCCAGACAAATCAGAAACTATGCATGTAATAGCCAATAGTTTGCAAACATCTCATATCAGACAGAGCTGCGAAGAGAATTAACACCCTCCCCTCCCACTGCACACCAGAGGCAGCAACCACTCTCAAGGCTGGGAACACAACGACACCAGGCCGCCGCCGCAGAGGCTGTTACGTGTGTCCTGCCATGTAACTGTCACAACTGGTAAAAGCCTGAGAACAGAGCTGGCTACAGTCACTGTCCCCCACTGTGCTCTCAGCCTGTTGCAGATGTGTACAGAGGAGATTTGTGTATTTTTTCCTAGAACTTGCCTTGTTCATGTTGTTGTAATATTGACAAAACATTCAGGTCACAGCTGTTACTAGCAAGTGGAAATTGAAGCTTTTTATTGAATGTATTTTTTTATCTTAGCTTTTAGAACAAGATATTTAACAACATTAACATTCATTTTCACATCACGTGACATGCTCAACTGTGCTACTACTTTAGCTACAGCTGCATATTGTCTGCTTCCCCAGAAGTCCTCAGACCAAAGATTTATGGCAAAACAGACACTTAAACACACACAAAACCAGAAAATGCAAGTAGGTTTTACTAATGAGGCAGTCATTTCGCTGCACGCACCTCTCCATCAGAAACAAGTCCAACTTTAGCAGACACCAATAGCATCTTTTGTCTTTGTCTAATTTGGAAGCTGTGTTACACAGAACTGGGAAACAAGTTAATGTATGCAAAGTTTACTGGAGCGGCAAAAGCAACAGAAAGTGTTTGATCTAGTGAGAAACTATAAAGAGAACAGAAGCTTTGCATTCCAAACCAAGGACTCCCCCAGGAATGAGAGGTATTTGAAGACGTCCGCTTCTACATCTGGAATTAAAAGCTGAGATTTCTCACAGAGAAATGCAAATCAATTAAGCAAACCAAGAAATGTTTGGGGAGAAAAAGGAAAATATTTGGCTGGCAAACACTAAAATGTTGAGCAGCTCTGTGGGAGTCATGTCCCATGGACTGAACCAAAACCATAATTAGTCTATTGTGTAGATGAACACCAAGCTCATGTATGATTTTTTTTCTCATCCCAAACATCTCCTGGACACTTGCTGCCTAGCATCCTTTGTACAAAAGTAGAGTACCATACTGATAAGTCAGTGTGTAAAAACACACCTGGGGGAGGAGGTTTAGCAAAGTATAAAGTGTTTTTTCAAAAGTGCATAAGTAGTAAACAACATTCCTCTGGGTTTGTATGTTTATCATTGTACCCAAAGGCACTTGCCATTTTACACTGGCAGTTTTAGTGCTCCCAGCTGATGTTATCTGCTTGGAAGCCGAACGGCACCACTCTAACTATAGTACCATGTCTCTCATGCCGATGCCTGTCAGCAGACAGAACCGCGCAAGCGTCCTCGTACAGGTGCATTTTGCAGCAGCCAAAGAGAGGGCCACCAGGTTCTACCAGTCTTAAGGAAATGAGAGGCTTCAAATGTAGATCACATCCGACTCATGCTGCTGAAACTACAAGCAAATCAAATAGGAAAAATTAGAGCATATTTGCCTCACCCCTGCTACTTGGATTAGGTTAATCTTAAAAGTTGCTTCTGTTACCTGCATTAGAAAGACCTGCTTCCTCATCTGCTGCTACACTCAGTTGTGTTCTTCCTAGTTCTAAGCATACAACCCTGAAGATTCAGGTCTTGAATGTTATACACTAGAGCCTCTAACTGATCCTGAAAACTCAGTTTTGTTCATACAAAACAGCAGCAAATACATCAAGATTTCTTTATTCCTAATACCTTGCACAATTAGCACTAGCTAGAGAAAGCCGATTTCCTCCCCACTGTTCAAGACCACACACCCTTACGGTTCTTCCTGAATGCATACTAGATTTTCCATTCTAGTGAAATTTAAAAGTAGGTTGTTTTTTCATAAAACCCAGCTCTTTAGCTCTTCAGGACTCTTTGACAGGGAACACATTGAAAGAGATCTGAACTGAACTGTTGGAAGTCCAGGCATTTACTGGTATACTACTCTGCCCCTTCAAACCAGAAAGCAGGCACAGTATGTTTTAAGCTTTCTATACCTGGGAGCACATTGTTATTTCCAAACCTGGTTAATACAAATAAAATTTAACACAGATCCTCCCTACTGCATACAGGCATCTCTTGTTTCATTTACTAAGGCTTACAGCTTTGCATTCCAGCTTAGACCGTAAGTCAGAAAAACCAAGTGGCCTCGAGTTATAAGCAGTCTAGAACAGCGTGCCAACACAGGGTCTCCAAACTCACGCAACAGCCAGGCATTGACTCCTCGTTTCAGAGGCCATGACAGAGCTGGACAAAACAGGTCCCTAAAGACATTCTTTACCTCTGTGAACTCTAAGCTTTTAGTCAACATTTGGGAATTTACTTACAAATCTGATTACCTTTATAATCTGTTTTCTGGTTCCTGTGCCCACACTGTTGGCAACCAAGGAATTTGCTTGAAAAGATGACTTTTCCACTGGCACTGTGTGTTGAATTTTGTTGGTACAAGGCCAGCTGCCTGTAGTATTTAACGAGTAAGCAGGGAAAGGTCTTTGAAGATTTATATCTAATGAATCTCCAGTTTCGAAGGTTTTCATCCATGATGGGGTCTTTAAAAGAAAAGAACACATGGAAATTTAATGCCCTCTCTATATCAACACTCGTTAAGCCAAAAAGAACATCAGATGCATAGTTAGAAAATAAAGGCCATCTTCCCTCATGATTTTTCGAAGCCTCCCTTCCCTCTCTAAAACTGTTGACTCGGAGCCATTTTTGCTACATATGGAACAACCTGGAAAGACAAAGCCAGCCTTATCCTTGAAGTGGTTCAGGAAGAGGCTGGAGTGTTTATATAAATAACAAGAAATTTATGATAAAAATGTGGGTTTAGTTCTTCACTGCCTTAAAAAAAAAAAAAAACAACCACAAGACTTCTATGACTTTTAACAACCACAAAGTATTGAATGAGAATGTGATGCAAACGCTGAGGAAGAACTTCTTAAGATTTTATTTTGACGTGAATTTTCCTTGTCTGTGTTCTCGCTTTTAATATTTTACTATCAAGGGTACTAAACCACATGCCTTGAACTGAAATACAGCAACTACCTTTGGCACACCCACACTATTCTCTTTATGGTTTATGTTGAAAAAAGTGGCAGGTGTTTAGGGTACATACATTGCCTAAGGAGCGATCCAAGGATCCCAGTACTTCATTCCAATGAGAGTAAAGCCCAGACTGCTTTTCTTCTAGTTTCAAAGCATGAATTTCAGACTTCAGTTCTTTCAGTCGATCTTCGAATTTTCTGCTCTTTTCTAAGTAGTCTAGTCTGTAGTCCACACATGGGAGACAAAAAGCCTATTGGCATGACACAGCTCAAGAACAGGCGTGTGTGGAAGGAGGAGAGAGGATGTTCTTTGGGGTTTGTTTGGGTTTTTTTGGGTTTTTTTGTTTTTTTTTTTTTTAATAAAGCCTGGCACATGTCAGCCTGACTCCTGTGACCCAGTGAGAAGGGGGTTCACTTCCACCCTTCACCACTCACACACTTACAGCTTTCTACCAAGCATTTCGCTCCAGAGTAAGGGAGAAAAAGCCTCTCGATGTATTATAGCAAAGCAATACCATACTTCAACACTAGAGGGAAACTTCTGCCCTCTACCACGCTGTTACTCCAGCAAAGTACTTTGCCCCTGACAAAACGCCCACCAAGACAGAAAGGTTCTGGCCTTCTCATGGCTTGGTATCACCAGAACACTCTTCCTGTGTAAATAACTAGTCTTACACAGACATAATCCACACCAACTCAGTAAAAGGCCTCCAGCCATATGTACAAGTAGGAGGCCATCCTGAGTTGTTAAAAGGATGAACTGTGATTCCCAGAGATTATTTTTTTCCTTTCTGTACTTTCCATGATTGACATTCTCATTTATTTACACCATAAGCACACTGATACCTCTCTCTCTCTATCTCAAAGGATAGTCTCTTGAGGTCAATGTCCTTCAAATCCAGCTTTATGGATCCTTTGTCAAAGTTGGCATCTCTGGTGTCAGTTGGTGAGTATTGCGGGTACTTGACCATGTGCTGAAAGAGACAACACAAGCACCATCAGTAAGATCTGATTGTTTGATTTTGGCTTTATCTCCCCAGCTTCTGCAAGAATGCCATGCTGAGCCATTCCATAAGTTACCCATGGATTCCGAGACACACAGATACTCCTGCAGCCCTTCCCCTCTACCTGAGTGGCGCCAGATGAACTTCTGAAGTCCACAACCCACAGATCCAAAGGCAGAGAAGTATCCGGCTGCAATGTTCCTGTCTATTTCAGCAGAGAATGGAACTCCACTCTCAGCATTCTCAGCAAGACTGGAGTAGAAGAGGGAGTTGGTGCACAGAGCACTAAGGCGTTGCCTTCTTGCCAGAGAGAGCTTCATCTGCTTTGCCTAAAGACACTCATGGGCAATTCACATGCCAGGACAACACAGCTGGCTCAGTACAACCATCTCAGCAAAGCATTGTCCAACTGAGATAGCACAGAGTCAGTATTGGGCATGAATGCAGGCAAGACAATCTCTGCTCCCTAAGTCCCAACACCAGTCCTGATTTTACTTTTGTCTCCCCTTTCTTATCCCGACTCACTGCCCTGAACAAATACAACTTCCATCCTAGCTGCACTGTGTTTAAGCACCAGTTGGTGTCACAGGTGTTAGTCACCCAGTTGGATGCAGAAATGCCACTGCTCAGCTTGATGTGGGCTATAAAAACACAATCAACATCTGACTGTCTCTGAAGATGAAGTGGTGCCCAGTAAAGCAGAAACTTACAGGATAATTAAGCCTGGTTATGTCTAAGAGTTTCTGCTTTGCTTTCCGTTCAGCCTCTCTGGCTTCATGCAGATCTTGTTTCAGATGCTCTGCTTCCTTGGCTCTGTAAGACAAATATCCTCACATGAATGGCTGATGATTTCCAGAATAGAGCAACGCATGGATTTCAGAGCTATGCACCCCCCTAGCCTACAGGGAACAACATCCACTACTGTGAGTGATTCCTTTACCCAGAGACACTTGTGGTAGGATGGTCACATGGAGAACTAACTGGTCACAGCAGGACACATGCTTTCAAAGACAATCCTGCACAAACTGGCTGAATTAATGTTTTTCCTACTCCTAATTTCAATGGGCTCAGTAACGACCTGCTGATACAGATTCTCCAGGCTGTCAGAGATCCTCCCTGAGGTGGGGAGAGGTGCAACATATCTGCTCTTTATTTTGGCAAGCTTTTTGGCAGTGTCCTAAAACAAGCAGAAGGCCCTTAATAGCAAGGTTAAACATCCTCTTTCAACACTGGTCTGCTCTGCATCTTCAGGCAGCACAGTGTCACAGAACATGCAAACTCTGTAAGAGTGGTTTATATTCCACACGAGTTTACCTGGTTTACACTTCTCAAAGATCTGAATGGATACAAGAGACCATCACTTGGTACTAATGAATGAAAATGGTCTCATAATTCACAGGGTACACAGATCGGTAAATTTAGATAGCTAGGTAGCCAGTGTTCTTTTGATAACGCCAAACAGAAAATGCTTCTGCATTCTGGATCTTTAATACTAAACAACTCTGAAGCCTTTCATTTGATCCTCTGTAAACTTCTTGATCTGCAACACAACCACTGGTACCAGATGGAACAAACAAGATGCAAGAAAGCTTAGTCACTCTGAAGTGTTGCTTCAGGAACAATCCCTCCTTCCTGGGCTTAGTTCTGAGAAAAGCAGCCCTCTCTCCACCCAGGCGTCCCACTAGAGACCACAAAACTCCACTCAAGCAGATCTAACCTCCGGTCAGACTCCTTCACCAGCTTCACTGCTATCAGCTCTGCCTCCCGCATCTTCTGCTCCATCAGGCGTTTCTCCTCTTTGGTTTTCAGAGCTGTGATCTCCAGTCTCTGTCGCTCTTGCTCAGCTTCTGCAGCATTCTGGGCCAGCAATTTTGCCTCTTCTTCTGCAATCTGAGCTTTCTCAGCCAGCAGTTCTGCTGCTTCCTGGGATCGGAGCTAAGAAGAAACAATTTCTCTTAGTTATCCTGTCTAGCATCTACAAAACCACCCCTGCAGACAGTCAGGAAAAGGACATCTTTTCCCAAATGATCAAGTGATAAAAATATTATTCCTTAAAATAAAAAGTATAGTAAACATAATTGTAGCATCTGGTGTTCCTCCTCTGCTCCAGAACTGCCTAACTTCCTCCTGCCTCTCACTTCTACAAAGCAAGGAGACACATTTGCTTAGAGTTGGACAAAGACATCAACCAAAAAGTGACGTTGGCCACTTCATTTGCCAGTGTACCATGCCCCTTTCTCCCAGTTTCAGCTCTAAGGTTGCTTTTCTTCCCTCTTTGCCTGAAGAAAGCACTGTGAACCAAATACAGGGAGCTAATGGCTCACAGCAAAAGGAGATTATGGCAGATCAGAGTTCTCCCAGGTATTCCAGCATGCCCTCTCCAGCCTTGTCCATGACATAATTCCTGGTGTCTCACAGGAGTCATAAGGGGGAAAAAAAAAGGCTTCCAAACCAAGAAAGCCCATCAAGCACAAGAATATTCAGACTAATGCGCTACTCACCAGGGCCTCATTGGCCTGCCTGGCTTCATCTTCCAGCTGGAAGAGACGCCTTTCCAGCTCTTCTTTGGCTCGCTCAGCTTCTTCTCGGAGCTGCTTCTCCCTGGCCAGCCTTTGATTCTCCATCTGGAAACAGAATGAGCAATACCACATTCGTGGGTTTGCAGCAGAATCTCATCTCGGCCTGAGGCAGCACAGCAAATGAAGCCAATGAAGAACGGACTGCTCTCTAGCTGGTGGACTGATATTCACCAGAGATGCAATGCTGAAGCTGCTTGCACTCCGCAGCACTGCACTCCTCTAACAGGTAATACTGATTATTTCAGACTGCTGGAAGCGCACTTGAATTGATCTGTTATGTACCCCAAATCTTTGCGATCACCTGTTCAGTTTCACAAGCATCACTTACATCCTCAGATGCCGCGTACACACTAGAGCTGTTCCAACATTCAATCCTGCTGTACTTTCTCACTTCCCACACACACATCGATGCAATGCATGGACAGCGAGGGCACCAGCTGGAATAATAATCACTGTTTTCAACAACAGAGGAGCAGAAAGAATCTACCTTTTTTCTAGCTTTTTCTTCCCTGGCTTGTGCTTTCATTTGCTGGATCTCTATTGAGTCCACTTTTCTTCTCCTCATAAATAGGTCATGGTTTCCAATGCACAACTGCAAAATCTGCATAGGAAAAGCAAAGGAAATGCGTTTTTGATGTACTTGTGCCCGAGCCAGAGGGACAACAGCCCTACATTGGCCTCACAGGGCAGAAGCTGACAATTCTGACTGCAGCACAAGCCCTGTCAGTTGCTTCTCTTCCAAGAAAATCAGCACCTAGGGCAGGCTCATACCCAAGTACATTATAGTTTAGAAAAGCTCATAACAGGATGAGGGGTTCCTTCTGTCCTTCATCGCACTCTGGTTCCATTTTCCTGAATAAGACCAGGCAATAGATCTAGGTCAAGAGTACACAAGGTGTAGCTGTGGGAATGGCCACACACAGCCCCTCCACAAGCTCACTGAGAAGTGACCCAGCCCCTATGGTTGTGTGTTAGGAAGCAATCCGTAATGATACAATTAGCCAGTTGATTAGGTCCCTTCCTTATTGCTTCTCCCAGCAAAGGAGAGGCAGTAGCTGATTAAGAACCCACAGCAGGCAGACGCTGCAGCGGCTTTTGCACCTTTCAATACACTACATCCTTTCCTTCAAGCATCTGGATTTCCCTTTGTGACTTGGGCCTTCTTTCACATCTCACTTTCCACCCACTGTCTCCCCGTCCCAGAGAGGACAAACACATGCACCCTCACTTCCCAGACAGAAGAATCCCCAGGAAAACACACACTAACACTCAACGCTCCCTGGCCTCTCCACAGGTTTTACAAACAATATTTCTCACTCAGGTATCAGTCAGTATTACCAGGCTCAGTTTTAAAGAAGGAAAGCTGGACACTCACCAATTTGTTCACTTTGAGCTGAGAGGAAAAGAACTTGAAGACTTCTGCTTTTTTGTCAAGAGGTTTAATAGTTAACTATACAGGCAAAAGAAAAAAAGAAAGGGAACACAGTGAGAAGGAGGAAAAACAAAGCTGAAACTATTAACACTAATGCAAACTTTAGCTCATCTCCACTTCTCTCCGGGGAAGCAGTGATTTATGCCACAAACGTGGGGAGAGTGACGCGAAATTGTTTTGCTCAGAAGAATCAGAACCAGGGATGCTGATACACAGGTTCCTCATCTGCTCCCATAGCAGGCTGTTAGAAGATAAAGCCTTCCATAGGCTCACCCCGGTGCCAGTTTGGATGGTGGTTTTCATAGTAATACCACCTGCACATTGCAAACTATACTAAGAGCACTGGAACAAGTACTGGTTATCAGGAAAACAGAATACATTACTAATCCCCAGAAGCAGTCATATTCTTAAAGTCAGGGAGATGTCAAAGAGCCCTCTAAATACCAATCACCGCAGGTGTAAACAAAATGTATCAAGGGCCTGAAGGACTTGTTCTTCTGACCATCAGATATAAGTCCTGGAGCTTCTGCTTCCTCACGTTTTCAATCCTATCTCCCAAGCTGTTTCCAGGGGACACGAAGGGCTTTCATGCTGCCAGGTCAGTACACACTGTTTCACTTCATATGGTGTGCTCGGTTTAGCTGCATAACAAAATATGGCTCCATTCTTTAAGATCCTGTTTTCTGTGACTCATGGGTTAGCTAGCACTCTATTCCTGTAATTCATTTGCAATGCAATGTATAATTTGAGGCCATCTGAGTCACCAAGATCATGATGTCCTACAGCTTGTTTCACCCTGTAGGTAACAACTGGTTGAATACGTTGCCTCGTGAGAAGCAAGGCTGTGAATGTGTCGCTGAATATAGTGGAGCTTTAATATAGGGCTGCTCGATTTGCCAACAGTAGGGAGTTAAAACAGTTTATTCGCAGACCAGAGAAGTTTAATGGCATGCAAGGACCACAAACTTTTTGGAGGCAGAACTGTAGACTGCCCTGCCTGATCTACTGTCTGGACAGCAAATCTCAGCCTCAATGTTTTTCAGAAGGCCCGCAGAAAATGGAACAGGCTGTGCTGTCCTTTGGCTGACAAATTCCAGGTATTCCAGTACCAATGTAGTTTTTCTGGTTTTCTTTTTCTGATTATAGCCTTCCATGTAGCCACATGATTTGTGATGAGACTAAATTTTACCCACTCCCTACTGTACTTTCCACAAGTAAAAGATGGCCTCTGAAATCCCAGTGAAATTGCAATAGTAGGGTTGTGCTGAAGACTGAAATCATACACTTGAAAAATTAGCAGAATTCAGGCAGAAAAACATGTACGTCTCCCTACATGTCTCCTCTTGCCAGCGTGCTTTAAACCTCATCTACAAGGACAGCTTCTGCATATAAAAATGGCATTAAGACTTCACAAATTATCTAATTCCTGCTAAGATAACTGAAGCAGCTAGTCACAGTGGCATTCATAATATCTTTTTCAGAGATCAACACACTTGTTTTGCAAAGGACAAGCAGCAGGGAAGGAACCAGAACAGTGGGCTCCACAAGTCTGAAGAGCTCAGAGCAGCCTCTGGCTCCTAGGGGAACCGAGGTTATGCAGCACATCTGAGAGGCAAGTCTGTTATTTTTAGTTTTGTAACAAAGCTCCCTAGGATTTTCCCCTTCTCCCCCAAATTATTTAAACAGAGATAGCTTTCAGCCTGTTCCAAGAATTCCAGTCCACACCCATGCCCATATAAAAAGAATAATATATCAAAGCCATCATACCTCTTTCTCACTATAGGAAATGTTTCTGATAGCACTCCACTCAAATGACTTATTTGGAGAGAACCTGTTGTTAATGCTGTAGATGTGAATACCTTTGGCATCAACTCCAAGTAGGAGATCCGTATGGTTTTTATTTTGCTAAAAAACAATAGATAGTAGTAAAAGCCATTTATGGTGATATTAAAAAAAACACAGACAAGAAACACACTTATTCTAATACATTGATATTTATCCATATTTTTCAAAAATTGGTATTTCCACAAAATATTTTGAATGTTGTCACTGCCAGCTAATAAACCCAGTCCTCTACGCTGACTGTAGCAGCTCGAACTTTTAGATTTTCTCTCCTCCTTCCTACTTCACACCCAGAGCTACTCAAGACCCTTGTCAGATTGTAAGACATTAATCTTAACTGTTTTATCCACCTACTCGTTTAGCAGGCAAGTCACCCAAGTCAGGACAATCAGTACACATACCACCATCAGCAGAGAAAAGCAGAAGTCAGGAGTCCTAGTTCCAGACTCCCTGAAGGATTTTAAAAAAGGACAGTACCATCACCTACAGCAATTGAAAATTGCTAAAATAAAGCACTTACAGCAATTGGAAAATAATTGACACCATACATTTCCAAGTCCTGGGCAATTTTCAGGTAGTTCATCTCAGCTTCATCCCTAGAGAATAAGGCCGTGGTTATACTCGGAGACTCCTTTCCAACCTTTCTGTCCTAGCAGACTCTACGCCTCCCACTTAGAAAAGAACAGATTCTTTGTACTTTCTTTAATTTTGCCATTTTACTCTTAAAAATAGAAAAAGGAAAATAAAACAGCATCTCTACAGAATAAAGACAGTAAAGCTGTACCTGTTTTGAATCATGTACAGTGCAATCTTTATTAAAATTCAAGTCCAATCTTATCTTTGTGTTGGTTTTGCCACTCCATCATTATTACGTCTTTGAGACCTACCCTACCCTTGTTTTTCATGACATAAAAAGATTTCCTTCAGGAAACAGAGTCCATGGAGAAAGGAGTCCTGAACAAGTTCTAAACAGAGCTTCGGGCAGAGGCCAAAGAAGGGTGAAAATCTCTCCACCCACCGTTGTTCTCCCTTCAAGGTGAGGGATCAACAAGTTTTGAGGAAAATATGCAGTAAAAATAGTACTAAGAAGCACCTAGAACAACCAAAGAGAAATTGAGCTGAAATATTAGGAAAGGCTGCCTCTAGGTGCCAACAGCTCCCACTTCCTGTTTAACTGAATTTCCAGACACGCGGAATGTGTTAGAAGTAGCTGGAAGTCCACATGGACAAGCATCAAAACTCAGTCCTGGAACTACGATGCCATGTCTTCACTGTTTTGGTTCCCTGCTAAGTATGGTGACACTCTTTTGAGCCATGATTTTCACAAGGAGAGTGATGTGATACGGCTCCAGAAAGGGCAGACACAGCAGCAACTCCGGGTAGCTAACAACCTTAAATGAAAAGGCTAATCTCTCAGGGCAAACCGCAAATCCACACAGCTCAAACTGTGGAACTCGTCTCTGCTGGCATCCATGGACTCTGATGACATACAACTCATTTTTGATATGTTAGTTCATGAAACTCTGCAAGAGTCCATGGCTTCTCCGTTCACTTCAAACCAAGTCCAGTTTACAAGCAGTTGAAGCTCTACACAAGACTCTTTACCCTAGATGAGTGGGCCTTTTTATCCTTAGTTATAAATTAACCTACTAACATCACAGCTTGGAATCCAGTATTTCTTTGCTCATTCCACAAAAGCCAAATTTCACTGAAGACAGAAAATAACCAGTTACTGAGATGTATGGGATTTCCAAAGAATGAAATGATTTCCATACCTGGCGATACCCCTGTGCTCAGCATACCAAGCAGTAATCTTTTCTTCCCACATCTCTGCTGTCAGCTGATACTGCCTGAGGACCTGCAGACAAAGGAAGGAGTTTGGTTTTCTTTGAAGACACAAATACACGTACCGCCTCTCCCAAGAAACGTGAATGCAGCAATGCAGTTCATAGCTCGGTCATTTTGCCAAGTTCATGGCAAACGCAAATAGTTTCTATTGCTCTGGTTAATCCCATAGCAATATCTGTGCTGTAAAAAGTAAATGCAAAGATTTGGTTTTGTACAGAATAAAGACTTACCCTTTTGGGTAAAAGTTCATCATGGGCTAGAAAGCCTGGCTCGTGAAAATTTGGGTCGTAGTCACCATACTGTCCCAAGAAAAGAAAAGATATTTGAGTCTAATGCAATCACTTGAGGCAGATTTTGTCTTAGTTCTCCTGTAGACGGGGTAACACATAATAAACATGCTCCCCTTATCTGTTGTCCATGGAAGTTACTTCCAGCCGTTGTGCTATGCACGCAGCTCCAATGCAGCCACAAAGGTGGCCTATAAGCCTAGACTTCAGCCCTAGACTACGGCTCTCAGTAACTACAGATATAAAAGAATGTGCCATGACTTCATACCCGTCTCTGAACTACAAGCTACATCCAGGAGCGTAAGCTCCACTGTTCCTATAGCGTGCTGCGTATAGGCTGGGCTGCTGCTAAGAATTTGAGTTCGCCTCCTGCTATTGTATGTGCGGCTCTTGGTAGCACCAAGTGAACTGCATTCTGAGAGATACTAAAAAACATTGTGTCCTTCCATTATGAGCTCTGGTATCAGCACCCGCTGTATCCATGGACATTTTTTAAAACAACGGGAAATAATTCCAGCTGGGAGAAAGATTACATTAAAATGTTAGGTCAAAATAAATCCCTTCAGTTGTGAAAGCATAGCATATAATACCAAAATCCTTGTAGTGGCAGCTCATGCTTATTTTTCTAGGTGTGTCTGTACCTCCCAGGATGACCTACTACTTTAATAGCAAATTTTAACACTGCTGTTCTATGTAACACCATGTGCATGTATTGGTTAAAAAAAAAGAAAAATTAAAGAAGAGCACTTCTATGCACAAACCTTGGCCTGAACAGCATAAGAAGCCAGTAAAACTGTTGCTTCTGGAGAACAATAGATTTCCTCATCCAGTATTTGTTTCTTAACCTAAATCAAGAGAAAAAGGGGGCAAGTGAAGAAGCTCAAAGTCAAAGATTATGTCAGGCTTGAAATGAAACTAAACATGCCCAGACTATAACTTGGCACCAAACATTACCATTATGAGTTAATAACAGCAACAATAAAAAGGCATTCAGAAACAGAGGAAGCCTTTACTTTGCATTACATTTAATGAAAAAAACCCCAACTTTTAAAAGTTAAAGTGTCTCAACTCTAAGTTCATAGAAACGCCAGTTGGCTATCTCTACACATTTATATAAGAAGTCTTGAAAAGAATGTTATAAAACATGAATTTTATTGTCTGCACTTTATTCCTTTTAGCAACTCTTCCTTTGCTTCCTGTTTTGGAAAAGTCAGCTTTACAACATGTAAAACATCAAACTTTAGGTTGGAAGGGACCACTGGAGGTCATCTAGACAAAGCAGGTCCAACTAGACCAGATTGCTCAGGGCTGTCCAGCTGACTAACACTGCCAAGGACAGAGACGCACTGAAAACCATAACAGTATGTTCTCAAGCTTTACAGAATGAGAGAATAAAGGAGACCCCACAAAGGGAAACTAACTATTAGAGCACTTCATTTAATTCAATTACAGTGGTCTATGCACAACAAAAACATAGAAGCTTAGAAATAAAAGCTTAGTATAAATGGTAAAGAGTCTTTTAACATTCTTTTCATTTTAATAATCTATGGTGCTACCAAGATCAGAGGTGTAATAGTTTGTAAGATGTTGCTTGATTTTAAATCAGTTGGGTAAATCTTACTTGAAAAACTAAAGAGGGAAGGGGAAAATTATTCTTCGCAAATCCTCCTCTCAGGTGTAATGTATTTAGCCTAACAAGCACAAGACAAGAAAATTTTGCATAATGCAGTCTTCAACATTTCCAAAATGAAAAATTACTTGAGATAGCACTGAGCTATCTTTACAAATACACTTTGGCACTGTAGGTACTGTGAACTGAAATGAACCATAAAGAAAGTTTTTCTTTTAAGTTTAGTCTCTGGTGAGCACAATATACGATCCTGAGTTATAGTACAGGGAAAATTCTTTCTAAGCTGTTAAAATGGAAAGAATGAAAAGATTGAAAAGACTTTTCTTCCAAATTGGAAAGCTCCAGCTTTCATACTCCATGGTGCAAATCATATGTTTCAGAATTTAGAACAACTTAAGATAAATCCCCCATAAGGGATGGGGTTTTTTTCTGATCAGTTCTTACAAGAACATTTTGTTATACTTCTTTATGAAGGAGTGAATTACCTAATCTTTAAACAGAAAACATTTAGCTTTAGTCATTTACATTTAGTCACACATTTCGCAAAAAGCTGCTATGTCACATTAATTTGTAAAGGTCTGAATAAGTCAGTAGAGCTGAAATCTGTAGACATCCAGATGTCTGTACATGTTTTTCCTATTAGCATCCAGGTGTGATCTTAAGTTCTTATAGTCAGGAAACTTTGCAAGTTCAAATTTGTTTCAGTCTTGTTTTTCTACTTCGGAATGAGAAGAATTTGCTAATTGCATATCTGCTAGTCAAGGCAGGCTCAAGGAGAAAAGAAAAAAGTGAAAAAATCAGGATTAAAAGACTAGAAAAAGAGTTCTCCCCTCTCATTCCTTTCCAAAATTAGCTTAAGAAACAAATTGCCAAGTGGTTAAGGGTTCTGGATGAAGTTCTAGTTAGTATATTAACCCTTGGAACAACAGCATTTTCTCATTACTTCATTAACACATCCTCCTCAGGGAACAAGTGTATTTACTGTGTTTATTTACAGATGCAGACTGAATGTATTCCATACACCCAATCTACTTGCACAGACACATACTGCTGAAAGCTACCAGAAGAAAGCAACCCACCACAAGGCTGTAATTTGCAGAGGATTCCACAGCAACTCAGCAGAGAAGCTGGATGTCACAGACATTGGAACAAACAGCTGACCAACAAGTGACTATCCAAAACCCAACATTTGTATACCTATTGCTACAGCTACAGTCTGTTGCTGCAGTAACAGCGTGGCTTTTCCTGGTCGATGCATCTTTATTTTGATAATGAAGCACTGTACTCCAAGAATTTGCTCCTTCATCTACTTTTTAATGGAGCTAAGAGAAGCCTAACAATTTCTGGGACAAAAGAAAACTAAGTGGCAAATAAGGAAGCTGCCTCTGCAAAGCTATCATCATTAACGCATGTGGGGGGTTAACTTTATTACTTTTACTGGCTTCCATCTCATGGAAATTTGTAAGAGCCACCATGGTGTACAGACCAAGCTGTGTTCACACAGCTAACAACTCTGCTCTTGAACACAGTACTGTTGTCCTGCAGCTCCTCTGTAGCTGCCCCTATGGCAGAGCTGAAATGGGTGCTGTTATCTGTAATGAAGATTTGTCAGGGCTGGGGATTTATTCTGCCAGCATGAGTAGCAGGCACCCAGTTCAAAAGGGTAGGGAAGACAACTCAAACTGGCTAATTTGACTGGCAGAAGACAGTGTGTGCAAATCTAGACATTTCAGAAGAGTATCACCACCATATCAAGGGAACAGCACTTCTCATGCAGGGGCTATCGGACAATACAATGATGCCTCCAGACTTGGTCTTTGAAAAGACCACACATTGTGGTGAATCTTCTTTTTGAGTCATAGGTGTGTATGCTGCTCCACTCCTTTTGAAACTTGCTAGATGAACAAACCTTTATTTCAGAATGGCTATGAAATTCTATGATCTTTTCTTCCCGTACAATCTAAAATAAACATTTAAGGAGGACAGGCTAGAGAGCTCTTGTTTTCTAGTGATTGTGCCTTCTACAGTCATACACAACAAGATCTCCCAGTAACCACCTGGTCTATTTTTAGGAACTCACAAGTTTTAGTTTCAGGGATAGGCTGTAGTCACAGGTCTTGTTCTCTCTGCAGCTGATATGGGTGAAGAAGCTTATTGTCCCCAACTGCTTATCACCATTCCTTCCCTCTTCTCCACCTTCACAACTGCCACCATAATTGCTTGCGTAGTCACTCCCCCACACAGTGCGTACATCTAATAACAGGTCTCTTCTAATTCTGCTCATTTTGAAAGAACTAGGTTAGCAAATGATTACACAAGAGTTTATACCAGCAGGTCTAAGACAATGATGACAAGGAACTGTTGAGGCTCTCTTCATCCGACTTAGCTACAGCCAGAGCAGACCAGATGACACAGTCCTCAAGATAACTTCTGAAGCTGATAAAAATGATGGCTTCACTTTATACTTCTCAGTACTGACCAGTTAGGGCAAAAGCCTCACAGTTCTTCAAGCAGTGCCAGCCTTGCATGGATTTCCCCCCCACCCCTCCACAAGACATACTATAGCAGCAAAACAAGTCTGGAATACCAAGATGTGGAATTACCAAACTGCTATGTGTAAAAGTCATTTTACATGAAACTACAGGTCTCAGCAACTCAACTCCCATTCCAGGCACAAACAGTAAGAGAAGCCATCAAGACAACAAAAACCTGCAGAAGGCAAACAACATTCAGCTTGCCAGTACACAAAACCACAGTAGTCAGGAGATGTTTGTATTTCGTAAAAATGAGATCTTTACAGAGACACTAATACAGCTGAAGCCAGCAGAATCATTCTGATACTAACAGCTGCCAACAAGATCAAAGACAAAGCAAAAGGACTGGCATAAATACAGAAGGAACTAATGGTTAAAAACGGTTCCTGACCTGAAGGAAGAATAAATGCTGGGTAATTTCCTGCAATAGTTCCTCTTCTACCTTCTCTGGATAGAACTTAGCCAAAAAATGAAAGCTAATCGGATCTTCTTTGGGGATTTCTTGATCTAAAACCTGTTTAAAGATAAAATAAAATCAGCAGCAGAAATAGTACATAAGTGTCTCAAAACAGTATTCCAGAGGAAAATCCAAAAGCAGCTGATAATCTATTTAAAGCAGCCTTTCCAGATTTTAGAAGGACAGGCAATGCTGAGCTTTAATCTAATAGCAATCAGTGTATATTGTGGTGATTGGGGTGTGGTATTTCAGGCCAAATGTGATAGAAGCAATCAGACCAAATAACACAAGACCTTTAGTCTTAAAAAAAATGATACCATCTAAAATTATGAATTGTCATGTAACACATTCCTTTAAGTCTTATGCTAAAAAAGTAAATCTTTTTATAAGTAGAAAATTGCCATGCTGTTATTTTTTTTTCCTATACCTTTTTGTCCATCTTTAACCAGGTGCACATTCCTTTTATTGTGTACTGCAAGCCGAAAAACCAAGTCTCCCTTAAACCAAGTGCTCGGCACACCAGATCGAACAAATCCTTTCCCTTCCACTTCATCTAAAAGAAAAAGAAAATTAAGAAAAACAGGTATGTCTTGAATGAATTTGCTACATTTTAGTCGAGCAAACCAGGCTACCATTTACCTTTCTCCTATGAATTCTTATTTCAACCTTAGCTTTCCAATGAAATACGCCTAGTGCTGCCTACAGCAAAGGTGCAATAGTTACAGTGCTCTACCACCTCTTCCTCTCCTCCAGGGGAACATTCACAGAGCAGCTGCAGTCATTTAACCACAGCATCGTGCACTTTATGAGCACAGGCAATGAGGATTGGGCTATTGATTTCCTAGGACATGGCAAGGCTTTGTTAGTATTTGTAAAAATCTTATTCAATAGTTTATACAAAGTGGAGAGACAGAGAAGGCCTGGGGAAATCATGGAGTGTCAGGGCACAGTGCAGAAATGCCAAGCAATTAAAGCAAATCCATCTTCCATAAACCTCAGTTATTTCAGTGGCACCATGCCAAGCCTTTATGCTACTCTGATTTAAACGAACAGGAGCTTGTCTTCTAGAGTAATTTACTAGCCTGGCTCCACAGAGAACAGAAACTTTGATTAAAGGTCCCAAAATTCACACGTATATCACATATTTTTTTTTCACTGAAGAGGCAGCACGTCTCTTTCTTCTGTTTGGCTACATGTTAAAAAGATTATTTTGTCTAATTGCATGGGTCAGCCATGAAAAACTTAATGGCAAACAAAAGAAGTTTTAGGCAATATTTAGATGGAAAGCAGGAAATCATCCCAGAAAAAGAGCAATATCTGGGAAGGGGGGAGAGATAGCAAAGGAATACATCAAGCTGGACTTGATAACAAGGACTCTGATCTCTGAATCAAATTTTCAAATCCTTTATTTCCACAGCTCTGTCTGCAAGTATTCTAGATCATTGTGACTAATCTATTCTGTCTCTGAGGGACCCAGTAAATAAAATACTAAATGCCCTGCAAGACAGTCAAGTCTCATTAGAATTGCCAGTCCCACTGGACCTCAGTTTTCTAACTTCTCTTCTCAAAATAACTCTATGTCTTTCTTTGCTTTTGCTGGATGATGAGGAATTAACCAGGCACAGTTCTGTCAGCTCAACAGTGCAACCCAATTCATTTAGCAATTGATCACTTGCTATATTTGTTTTCTTTCATGTATTTCTGCAGTCATGATTTCTCTAGCCAATTTACTAGATAGCCCTAACTAACAGAAGAAAAGCTAGCTTTTTCATTTGATCATTTTTCTCTTCTGCCCAGAGATGTAAACCAGCCATTATAGCTAAAGAAATAAACTGGAGTTTACAAATGGCAAACCACATTTGAAAAGAATGCCCCAGATCAACTGAGCACAAAAGTACCATTTTATAAATTACTTTATAAGCAACATCTCAGGAACAGCTCTGACTAGACTTCTTTATCCAAGCCAGCACTGTCTAAAGACACATGCCACTTACAAAAAAAACCTCAAGAATTTCATGGAGAAGCAGGTATACTTACAAAGAAGCCCTGCATCATGTGCTGGAAGGCTTATGAAGAAAGGAGGCCTGCTGGTAATTTAGCTGTGTCACAGTCAAGTAGATTTCATGGGAATAGCTTTAAATTCTGAATAGTCAGAGTTGTTTAACAGAAGAATGCAACTGAGCCTAAGTAATCCATTGTTTATAAAAATAATAGATCAGTTTTAAGACCATCCATGAACTGATAATCTGAACTTTTCAAATTTATGTCTTGCTAATACAAAGGTCAGTCACCACCTTTCTAGCATTGTGCTGAGGACTCTTACCTCACAGCTGAACTCCATTTCAGCATCTACTGTTATAATTTTGACTTTAAAAGTCTTCGGTTGTTTCTTCTTCAGGCCTCGGATGGACATATTTTTTAGTTTATGAGGATAGCCACACCTGAAATCAAACATGCATTACATTTAGGGCTGGAAATTCAGTAACGTTTTCTTGGCTAGATTCCAAAGTAGGATGAGTCCAAACTTGCAGAATAAAGTCACCTTTAAATATGCATTTTTGTGTTTAAGACTATAAGAAAGGATGTTGAAACAAAACATTTAGTTTACTCCTTAAAAAAATCAGTTGCTCCAAAACGTCATTCCTGTCTTTCCTCTCAGACTTTGGCAAACACTAGGTTCCTACAATACTAGAAAGAACATCATTCAGACCTCACGTTACAAGCCCCAGGGGCCTGCCTCTCACTACGGCTGAGGACATCTGGGGAACCTCCAATCCAGCCCTCATCCTCCATACAATCACCCGCATCCATGCAACTCAGCAGTCTCTTGCAACAGGACGCTGCAATGGATGAATGTTTACAGTTTAATAAAAGTAAGACCTGGCTTTTGAGTAATACCAACAGAAATATGACATTCCTCATCCCTTTTACATTCCAAAGCAAAATTCCCTTTCGCAGTAAAGGTCTCTGCAGTATGTACCGACACCAAATGCATCAGTGGAGGCTCCACTTGCAAAACATAGTAGAGAGCTACATCACAGCAAAAACTTACGATATCAAATCCAACTCAATTCTTTTCCATCAGTTATGGCTCCTTGAGCAACTAACCTGTTGAGTTTCTTCACAAAATTACATCTTAACTCCCTGAAATGATACAAATGCCAAGAATATATGCAGTGAAATGAAGCAGGATTTACCCTGTCCTTTTGGGCACACTAACTCACAATGACAAAAGCTATTTAGAACACAATTTTTTCCAGTGGAGCTCTTGAAGTGAAATGAATTTAATTTTGCACAAGTCTACAGAAAATTCCTTCCCAGATCTTCCATTCTAAATGTGATTGACTGCACGCCATCAAGAAAATCGATGAGATGTGTGCTATTTCCACAGCCATGAGGGTTCTGTGGATACTATTCAAACCAAATGTTGAAAGTTGGGGTTAAATGATAGCATGAATCTGCACTATGCAGTTCTCATGTTTATTTCTGAGCACAGGAAATCAGCCTGTATAGTTGTCGTCTTGTTTTTACTTTACAAAATTAACAGCTCAGACTTGCACAACCCAGTTAGTATCCGTGAACTATATAGGTCAAGAAGAGACTGAGGCATTCTTGGTTTCCTACAATATAAGACTATTACAGTGTGGCAGACTTCCAGTCTCTCCTTAAGGAATTCCAAAATAAAGTTCTAGTTTATACTGAAAAGTTCCATTTGTCTGTACCTTCCAGGATTTTATAAAATACCTTCTCCCTTTCTTTGCTTCTGCTGAGCTCTAAATTGGCTTGCAAACTGATTATTTTCCACTTACTTTTTGTGTGCCCCTCATCCAAAAATTTCAAGTAGCTAAATAGGAGGTAAAATGTATATGGAAGGTTTTCTTTTCAAATTGTAGGGAAGTTGAGGAAGAGAACAGATGAATTAGTTACCAAATCATATGGACGTCCGCAGCAGAGTTGAGAACAAGCACTCAAGACAACTCAGAGTGGGGAAGAAAAGCTCAGGAGGACATTCATCTTTCTGACACCACTGAGACCAGTTGAGGAGTCCTCTCCCTCCGGTTGGCTCTGATGAAGCTTCTGCTGAAGTCTTGTTCGTTTTGGGGCAACACACTTCAGGAAAGATAAGAGGCTAACTGGAGAGAATCCAAAGGAGAGATCCAATGGCTAAGAAATAATCTGTGGTAAAATGAAAGTACTGGTTAATACAGAGAAGGGACAACTGCGGTGAGGCACTATTATGCCTACACTTTGTGACCACAATGGTTAGGGCAAGGAATGGGCTTAATTAAATTGCAGACAGGTTGCACACCGAGAAAAATTCACTAACAATAAGAATATTATGATGCTGGAAAAGCATAGGATGGAATTTCTATATTTCTGAACTCCTATCCAAACCAGCGTGACAGCATCTGCTCCCACCGCAAGACTGGAGGGAACTACATACCCTCAAAGCGCTCTTCCCAAGCTGATCCTTCTGCTGGTGCCTGCCACTAGTCCTAGGAGAGGCCAGTTCACCACCAAGAATCAGTGCAAGCCAGGGTGCTTCAGGGATAGGCAGATCCAGAGTCCAAATCCCGTCACCCCCAGGGTACCCCCTTGTCCTCAGGGAATATTTTCTTAGAGTGAAAAACAGATCTTGCTACAGAGTACGTTTCCTCTATAATTTAGGCAACACCTCAGTGCACAATAAGCACAGCTCAGGTCCTTTCTATTTAGCATAGAATATTGTTTTCAATTGAGGGGAAAGGAAAAACCAAAAAATGACCATAATAGTATGGTGTAATGTGACCACAGTAATATTGACAAGGAGAGTATCATGTGAAGGCATCCAAAACAGCAGTAATTATTCCAGTATTTTTTTTGATCTCTAATCTGCAAGTTGCAACACAGCTAACAGCAAAATTATATTTTAACCTGTTACATTCCAAAGGTCTTTCCTGTACAGTTTTCTTCAAAACCCAAGATTTACTGTAAATAATTGTACCATTGGATACAGCAGTTAAAGCACGAAAACTACAAACTACTATACAATACTGGAAACAACCCCTTCTATTAGTTCTAGAAGAAACACCAATGGCTGAAGACAAAGGAGAAAAAAGCTTCATAACTCATTCTTAATAGGTAATTTGAAACGGCCAATTGAATTAAGCAGGAACTTGGAGTTAGGGCCAGTACAGAACATTCTCAAAGAGTTTCATATGGAAAACGCTGAACAGATAAAATTGAACAACTGCAGAAGAATGTAATAATTTTCTCAAAATATGACTAAAACACCAGAGCCCTTCATTTTTACTTTGAAGTTCTTTCTTTTTTCTTGTATAACCTGGTTGAAATGACAATGTAATTTGTTCAACATTTCCAATAGCATTTTTTTTCCTTTCCAGAATTTTTATTCCATGGAAAAGTACATTCTGACTCACGGTGAAAAGACATTTTTTGAATATCAAATTCTCCCGAGCAATGTAAACTGCATTTTAATCAATAGCACTGGTGAAGAAATAGAAAAGGTTTTCACACTGTCAGATAAATGACATGTCAGATACTGACAAAATAAGCGAAAGCACTTAACAGTGAAGTTTGCAGAAAAATAACTTTTTCAAATACAGGAAATCTTGCTGAATAAGCCAATCTGGGTTAGCAATCTTTTGTTTAAATGCAAAAGCAATCCACTGTAGATCCCTGCTAGTAACAACATCTAAATGTGAATCACGTGCAATGTGTTTCAAGGTAAGAGTTCCTGTCACTGAGCTCCAGTGATTTATTTCTGCAGTTGCCAGAGGGGGTCTAAGCTCAAGACCCAGATGCAGCAAAATGCAACAGATCAGAGCATGTCATAACCTTACCAAATAACACATTAATCCAAAATAGGGCGGGGTGATAAACGATTCCTGTCCAGCCAGAATCTGGGAACAGACAATTCAGAAGCTGTGAATGTTCACAGCTTCTCCTGCACCTTATGAAAACCAACAGAAAGATGGTAAAAGCTTTGATGTGCAGAACAGAAATGCAGCGATGAGGAATATAATTTGCAGGAAGTAAACGGTCCGGACTCTGCCTTTTAGCATGTTCACGTCCAAGATGAAAGAACTGACATCCACCAGCTCCGACTGGATTATAGCCTTCTCCCTTCTTGACAATGAGAAACTAGTGCCTGAGCAAAACTGGGAACAGCAGGCAATAGCAAGAAGAACTGGCAAGGCGACTCTTGCAAGGTACTGATGCTTATCGGTATCACAGCACTAGATGGGCAGTGTTACACCGCTGCATTGCACGTTTTATTGAAACGGGAAATAACCCACATGTACAACGAAAAAGAAAATGCCATCAGCACTTACCCCTAAAAGCTCAATAAATCCACCAGAATTCAGTACATTAGACAGACGTGGAGAAATACCTCAATGAACAAGCTGCAATTAACCTTCCCAAGAGTGAGAGTACAATTTACTTTCCTTTTGGCATTTCCAAGGTGAATGGATGGTGTGCAGGGCTCTCCACAGGATATAAAGATTTCCCTTCATATAGCACTTGCTCTCAGTGACAACTCTGCATGAGCAATTACCATCCAATCACACTTCGGTCAGCCACACTCAAGTGAAAAAGCATCTGTTTTCGCACACAAAAAAGCTAACAGTGCTTTCTAAGGTGAGACCTCCTTAGTCTCAGCTGCAGACAGGCTAGGAATTAATGGCAATTGCGAAACCCCTCTCGTATCCCCCCAAAAGTAGTCTGCCCTTAAAGATCAGCGCATGCAGAGGGGCAGCAACTGTACCATCTGCTAGCAAAGTCCTTACACAAGCTGGAAATACAAAACCCTTGGGAGTGCAGTGTGGTTTAAAGAAACAAGGCTTGGGAAGTACTTTAAGAGCCACCAATAGAAGACGCTTGAAGCCTCAACTGCAAAAGTACATTAACATAGACACTACTAGAATTTGAAAGTCTCCTGTCATTGCTGAAATATTTACTGCAACTCGTAATCACAAATTCCCCTGACTCATAATGTTTCTCCCAGTTCCTGAATTTCTATACTTAAGCTCAGAAATTAAAGCAAGCAATTTGAATGCAGACAATACAGGAAAGCGTTGTGGGCTTTTTACAGTTGTTGACTCACACTTCTGCCGGTGCTCCCTGCCCAAGTAACAATTTAAGCAAAGAATTCACTGGTTTAAAATGGGTCAGTAATATAAAGGTTTTTCTTACCTCTCACTCTAAAAAGAAGCTATCAAAATTCACCAGTTCGAATCAAGACTTACCTCACAGATCATTTTCTGAACAAAGATAAGAAGAAAAAAATTCTTTTTAATCCAAAATTCCCTGTTTTTCAGGAGACATCAATATCCAGCCCTCACAAGTTCTGCCACTAAAAATAAAATCCAAGAACAACTTTTATACTTGATCCCCTTTCCTTTGTTTCCTATGAACTGCAGCATGTTAGCGCCCTCTGAAAAATCAAAGAATTGCTTTCCCAGGTGATATGAGAGGCTCTTAACCATTTCCTGCCTGTGCCAGCAAGACTCCTCCCAACTTCTCACCACTGTAATTCAAGCAATAAGGCACTAAAATAAGAGAAGCCCGTGAATCTTGACTTGGATACCTGTAAGAACTGCTAATGAATTCCAGATAACTCCTTTGATAGTATTTGATCTATTTCAACAGTATCTCCAGCATACAAAGAATAGTCTGTTCCCACCATACCCAGCCACCTTAAAAGGGTGCACAGTGTTGTCCTATTAAGTAAATACAATTCCCTACCTGCCCTCTTCCTGTGGTGAGAGATGATGGGACAATAATGCTTGAAGAGAACAAGCCTGAAAAGTGGGCAGCAGCCAAAATACTTGCCAGTGGAAAAAGATAAACAATCACATTTAAATAGAAAAAAGGATGGCCTCAGCCTGAAGTCACAGGAAAACAGACCGCAAGGTCCATGAGGTGCCAGGAGCACACTACCTCAAAGGCAATGGTAAAGTCAAGACTTGTTTTGCCATTATTCAGTTTGTAAGATTTTGGGGGTTTTCAACCCACTATTTTAGGTATTTGCAGAAACTTTATTTCTACCAGGGTATACGTAAGCAAGGACAACAGGCCAGCTCTCACTTCATACATGTTGTAATTATTCCAGATTTACATGGAAAATGTTCAAGATTTGACTCATTTACCTAACTTAACAGTAGGTGGAAGGGCACTAAACTACCTCCTACGCAAACAGACCTCAGTACCATGTGGCCACAGAAAAAAGACTGTGCCGAGAGTCAGGTTCATCCCCTAAAATTCAGAGTGTAAAATGGCCCCTCAGCTCTCACACCTCTGCCTCCTCACCTCCTTCCAGCACCTCCAGACTGAAGCGTGCTGCGGATTGCGTCCAGCCCCGCAGCACAACACACTGCTGCTGAATGGGGCACCCGGCTAAGTAGTTATTTAAACCAAAAATCAAGCTGGATTCAGCTGTGTGAGCCCGCAGAGGGCAGAGGCAGGGCAGGTCTCCTCACAGACAGTGGCTCCCTGAGGGAACAGGCCCACTCCCCCATGGCTGGGGACCGGGGCAGGGCCCCCCACCACCCTCAGCCTAGGAGAGGAAGAAAACCTCATTTCCATCGGCTTCAGCCTCCTACTGCGCGCCAAGGCAGCCTCACGGGCAGCGCACAGAACCGCCACTCCCAATCCAGCCCCTCACCCGCTCCTGAAGGAGCCTAAGGCGGCCGCCAGCGCCTTTA